TTGAGCTTGTCCGGGGCTAATCGGCAAGGGCGGGCCGAAACAGGTGGGCCCTTAGTGCAGATGTGATGCGTGACGTTTGACGTCACAGGAGGCAACTCGTTCAGGACGCGAACGAGTTTAGGGTGCTTGGTGAAAAGTTCTAGAAAAGGCTGTGAAGCTTGGGGTAGTACACGAATGGGAGTGATAGCAGCCACGTTGGCGCCGGTCCCGATAATACTGAGCTGTGTCCTGGAGTCGATAAGCTTCTTCCTTTTAGCGTCGACGATGAGGTCGAAGCGTTGGAGAAAGTCTATGCCTATGATGGCGAAAGGCACGGCAGCGATTATGAAAGGCCAGCGAAAGGTTCGCCGGAGGCCTAGGTTGAGCGTTAGCAGCTTTTCGCCGAAAGTTGCGATTGGTGTGCCATTGGCGGCACGCAGCTTGGTCGGCGATGGTGAGACGACCTCATCTGAGCTACGGGGTATAACGCTAACTTCGGCACCAGAGTCTACTAGAAACTCGGTGCCGGAAGTTAAATCCCTAACACGGATGAGGCGACCTTGGTGTTGGCCAGGCGCGTCCGTCGCCGTTACCGACCGGCCGAGGTTTCCCTGCTTCTTGGCGAAGCTGCAAGGTTTGATACATTTACGAGCTGCAGTACCAAAACGCTGGTGGTACCAACAGCTAGCTTGCCTGTTGTTAGAGTTAGAAAGTTTGCAGGGCGATTTGGATCGGCTATGACGACGACGGTCCATAGTAAGCTGCTGGACCTGGCGACTAAGTGTCGCGACTTGTGCTTGCAGGGCTTCTATGGTTGACTGTAAGCCAGTGATAGAATTGCCCTGGGACGCGACGGCATGGACCTTGCTGGCGTTGGCCTGTGGCTGTGATCGTTCAATAACTCGATCCGCTAATTCTGCTAGTTGAGTGAGCGGAACGGAGCTCACTGTAGCGAGAATCGCTTGTGTGTTTTCCGGTAGCCGCTGTAGCCATAGTTCGCGAAGTAAAGTCTCGTCCATGGTTGATGAACCAAGGAGTTGCTGCATCTCTCGCAGCAGTGTTGAGGGCAGTTTGTCGCCCAGCTGCAGATCCCTGAAAAGCTGCTGCAGGCGAACTTTCTCAGAGGGCATAACACGCTTAATCGTGGCCTCTTTGAGAGCCTCATAGCGGTTATCGGTCTGAGAAATGATGACGTCACGAACCTGCATTGATATCTCCTTGGGGAGATAGGACAGGAGCTTGCAGTACTTCGCATAGTCGGAAGTGATTCTGTGGTTATAAAACTCAGCCTCAAGAAGAGCGAACCACAAAACAGGATCCATGTCCCAAAAAGGTGGAACTGAGAGAGATACAACACTAAGCATAGACTCTACCTTATGGTCTACAGATTCCATGATTTGAAAAAATGACGCGAAAAAATAGGCTACCGTATGCAAAAATAAAACCGGAAAATATGAAAAACAAATGGAACGAGCTCACTGGAGAAAAGTTCGAAATATCCGGCGTTGGGATTGATCCGGATTCGGGGTCACCAATTTAGAGGGTTGCCTATTCCGTGAGCCCAGAGAGCGATTCGAGAAGACGGATCGAGTTGCAGGGAAACTTTTATTGGTTCAGCAAAAGATTCCCTGTTAGCTAGCTATAAATGAACGACACCGTGGACGCTCTAGCTAGGGGAACGGATCAAGCACAGCACACAGAGCAGTCGCGCGTTGCAACCGAAGCGAGCGCCAAGCAAAAAATGGCGATGAGCAAGTAAAGCATTCGAACTCAGCAAGCAGTTCAACAAACCACACCGGTTGCCTAAGTGTACAATTATAGAATTTTGGTTAGAATTTTACACAGGCAAACCGGGGAATCTCCAGACTGCTACACTAGTTACTATAGTCAGCAGTTTCCAAACACTATCAGTAGGTAAGCCGCAAAATAAAAAATATATCTTTCTTTTTGTTGACAATGAGCGCACTTTAAAAGTTCTAGACCCAATAATCAGACATTTTGCTCTCCACTTATACTCTCTTGGCCCCATATACTTAGCTTTATCTCGTATACATGTGCCTTTCGCTATTGTCAACACTAGTAGACAGGCATAAAGAAAACCAGATCCTCTTCTTTAACTGCTTTTGCTCGTAAAACACTCGCATTTCCAGATTTCATTTCACTGGCACGAAAGCTAACCAATGACAGAGAGGCCCCAGTCACACTGGCTGGCTGGAGCACCAGAAACTTTCCATCACCACTTTTCTTATCTTGGCCGTCCGTGTGTCATTTCTCTTTTAGCTGGCTCCAAAGCCTACCATGCGCTATGCGTAATGGCGGATGAACGACCAGCTCCCACTGGTTTTTGTTACTATTCTACTCCTGATTTACATTATCGCTCTTTGCTTTGGGTGCTAGAACAGCTCTTGCCAGGAAAATCACAAAAAAATAGTCGGTGTGACATTAGAGTACCAGTTAACATTGCCAACTGGATGAACACCGCCGGCACTATCTTCGGAACTTAAAAATGGAGAGAAATAAATCGAAATTCATCAAATAGCTGCACAATAGTGTGCATCTACACATGAGGCATAACAATACCTCAAGTATGAGCAAGCTCAACCACCAGAAGTAGAGTTGTTAAAGCCCAACCAATGTAGACCAAAACGGATTTCACGCCCAAATGCAATTAGCTAAATTTTACTAAATTTTCCCATGCTTATTTCTTTATTATTGGTGGCAGGCTCCTATAGCTCACTGACGTTAGAGACAGAGCCACATGAATATAGAAAATCGGCTCTAAGGGATAAATCTTGTGATGTTTAGCTAAGTAATGCGTGTATTTTGTAGGCCGAAATCTGTTAACGGATCTGAAAGATCCCCAGGGTTACTCAGGTAGACCTGGCTCATGCGGGCTTGTTGTAAGCTTTAGAAAAGCTTAGAGGCTTAAAAAATGCTAAACTCTATTTTACTGGTTGTTTATGCGGCTCAGTATCCACTGAAAATGGTATGCTGTGGCCTTCTAACCGTGAGTTAATTACAAGCTCCCCTGAATTCCCATGTAGATATAATATTCCTTGCTGGATTTCTAGCGTTTTCGCGCAAGACCATCCCTTATCTTCATATATTTGTCATGTATGCCTGCAAAGTTTACTTTTCGGCCACCTGCGCAGTCCGTAGTTGTCGCAGGGTATTACGGGCTAATTAGAGCATTTCTGGATAGCTACGCCTATCTAGAACATACGCCGCTTCCCTACTTTTTATATTTTCTTTTCTTTTTTCTGCTATCTGCTTGCAAAGCAGAAAGCCATTTTTAGCGAAAAATAAAAATGGCCTTATTCGTAGACCATAATTTAATTGCGAATAACTCGCAAACTACTGCACGTATTGTGTTGCATTTAAGTTCAACGTATTCAGGCACTAAAGCTGGTCCAGACCAGTGTAATTTTGTGCCACTTTATGCGGTATTGTAACTGTAGAAAGGCATTTTCTTTTATCTGAGAATAACTCAGATTGAAATTTTGCGCCGGAGAGCAATATCAGCGTAAGAAAAGTTGGACTGTATTTTTTTGTTAATTAGTATTTTTCTACTGAAGCACGCAGCTTTATTTTCTCTCTTACCAAATTGTTTCTATTTTTGTCCGCATTTATCGGAATTGTTTTCAACTTTTCGTATGCCTTACAATCCCTTCACTCATTTCTTCCATGTGCGCACAATTGGGGCAACTGAGTGGCCAATTAATGTGCGATCAATTTAAAGTGCACTTTCGGCGAATTGGATTCTGTTCCGAGGAGAAAAGGCACAACTACACCGCGAAGTTTTCACAAAAGAACAAGGATTTCAATATCGCCCGCAGGAACCAGAAACATGTCAAGGTGGGCGCCTGCGACCCAGTAGCTGTATATCAAACAATGCCAATGCATTTGTAATTGCTGACGATGAACATATACTTATATTTTACCTACTTCCATGCAAGAGCATCGGATTTATGTAAGCATTGATCTGAACCCTTTAGGGTGCAGCCTCTAGCAGGTCTAGAAATATACCTATTTATTTATTTATTTATTTATTTAAACTAGCAGCAAACGGTGTCTCCAGCCATCTCCTTTCATGGTTTTCTTCCTACCTTTCCAACCGAACGCAGTCAGTGCAACTGGGCGACATCTCATCCAAAAAAGCATCCGTAACCAGCGGAGTATTCCAAGGCAGCGTCCTGGGTCCTCTGCTGTTTTTGTTGTACATTAATGATGTATTCCAGGTCTTCAAACACGGCACGCCGTACCTTTTTGCAGATGACATAAAAGTTATTTTCTCATTTGACCCTAGCTGTCTACGTAATAGTCTCCCTAGCATTCAAAGCGATCTCAGTGCTCTTGAAACATGGTGCGATCTATGGAAACTAGAGTTTTCACCAACGAAATGCAACGTCCTTTCCTACCGATGCTGTATACCCCCCAAACTATTAACTCTTAACGGTACACCACTTGATAACAGCTTCACTGTGCGCGATCTCGGTGTACATTATTCCTGTTCATTGAATTTTGCGGAACAAGCGAGCTATAGCTCTGCCAAAGCCAGGTCTAGCATTGGTTACATACTGAAGTCGATGTGCTTGTTAGAGTCTCGACTCATGCTCTATAAGTTGTGTGCCAGGCCTATAGTAGAGTACTGCTCAATGGTTGTTACTAACTCACGTAAAAGTGACAGGATGGTTATTGAGAAAGTCCAGCGTTCGTTCACTAAACGTCTATTAGGAGCGTCTGCGCTCAACTATCAAGGCCGCTGCAAGCAGCTTGGGCTGGAACCGCTTTGGCTGCGACGTCTCAAAACCAACCTTGTTTTCCTATATAAGCTAATCAAAATATCGCACTCAAGTGCCGCTAGTTTTTTTCAGCCGCCTGGCGATACACGTTATCCTCTACGCCATAAGGCACACTCATTTTCCCTACCCAACACACGTTGCTCCATACGTTCTAACTTCTTCCTCTATAGATATGCGCATGTCTGGAATAAGCTACCGGAAGCCGTCAGAGCATCTGATAGGATCACGCAATTCTCCACGGCCACATATAGACTATTAAGCGTCCCCAAGGTAGCCGAGATCCTGGGCATCTGCATCCCCGAGGACGAGCTCTGGGAGAACGGCCCCGATCACATATAGACACAAATTCTTCAATCCGCACTAATAAAGCTCCCTTCCTTCCCAAACTGTCCGCTCCTTATCGCGCACTTTCATTTCTCTTGCAATCAGATGGCAACTCAGTGCCCTGCATGACCTAGTCTCATTTGACCAGTCTGACTGCATCCATGACTACAGAGTTGCAAATGGTCTGGGACCTGCAGTCAATGTTAAGCCTAATACACCTTGACAGTCTGCTGGAATCGCTTTCATTTATGCAGTTTATTCCTGTCCATTTCTGCTGCCCCCCTACTTGTCTTCTAAAATAAGCTGTTGGACTCAATCTCGTTTCGCCGAATAATCCTGTCTCGTCTGGTCGGTCTCCTGCTTTCCAACTTCTCTCAGAGTTCTGCCTGACTTGCATACCTTATACTCATGTAGCCTCCTGCATCCCAAACCTATCCGTCTCTGCTGACTCATTATATATCTTCCTTCCTTAACTGTTCGACTTACTCTCAATTTGCCGACTTAACCAGTCTCGTCTGACCGGTCCCCTGCTCTACGAATTCATTCAGACTGCTGTGACGTTACCGGCATTGGATGAGAAGTGCGAACGCTCTGTCCCCATTACCTCCCGAGCCCCATGGACTTTTTCACACCTTATAAGTAAACCTCCCAATATCCGGACCGTCTCCTCTCCTTATGGCATTTCTTATCCGTAAACGTAAAATCTCGACTCAGTCCTCTACTTATCGCGCTCTGCCTTTATTTTTTCTTAAACCGGAGAGCGTGCTCTCAGTGCCCTGCTCTGTTATCCTCTTCGACTACAGAAATACAGTTCTAGGCTCTACTTCACCAACACACCTTTCCCTCACACTGCGAGCCTGCCTGAGTTGCATGCCTTATATTCATGTAGCCTCTTGCATCCCAACCCATCCGTCTCCGCTGACTCTTTATTTACCTTCCCACCTCAACTGTACTACTTACTCTAAGTGTGCCGACCAATCCAGTCTCGTCTGATCGGTCCCCTGCTCTCCGAATTCATTCAGACTGTTGTGACGTTACCGGCATTGAATGAGAAGTGCGAACGCTCTGTCCCCATTACCTCTCGAGCCCCATGGACTTCTCCACACCTTATAAGTAAACCTCTCCCTATCCGGACCGTCTTCTTATGACGTTCTCTACTTTCAAACCTTCTCTAATCGGACTGCCAACTCTGTGCCCTGTAATAACCTAGTCTCATCTGACCGGTCTGCTTCTTTGACCCTTTCCAGACCAGCAACATTTAAACGGTCTAGACTCTGTAGACTCAAGCTATATCGCCCTTACGTTGACAGCCTGCTAGACTTGTTCACCCTCTATTTATATAGTCACCTCCACCTCTCGACCCACTCCATTTGCCCTCCTAAAATTAGCTGTTGGACTCAATGTCGTTTCGCCGACTAATCCTGTCTCGTCTGTTTGGTCTCCTGCTTTCTAACTTCTCTCAGACTCCTGTGACAGTACTAGCCATCGTTCAGATGACAGCGCCGTTCGTATCCAATCATTCTTCAATCGGACGATTGAGTCTCTGTCATCCGTAACTCAGCCTCAGCTGATCAGCCAAATACTATGGGACTGCTACCAGGCTACCGGGATGTTAGCGGTCTAGGCTCCGTCGATCCAAAGCACTTCCTCCCTCACCTTGATATCCTGCTGAACTTGTCCGCCCTAAGTTGATATAACCACTTTTATCTCTGACCAGTCCGATCCTACTGACTCCACTTACCTTCCCA